ATCTTGAAACAGCCCCGTAGTAGAAAGTGTTTTATCTTCTAAGAGCACGATAGAAGAGAGCATGAATTTAAGTTCTAATAACATCTGCCTAGCTTACAATGGAAGTATGTACATGACACTGATAGAAAGATACATTTAACGACTCATGCTTTTAAACATTAGCAGTTTCTACTGAATGTGTTATGAACATCACATAAGGACAACAGTTGACAGTCTCCTCAATACCTTGTGACCGGTTTCTGGCAGGCCAGGTTAATCTCATGTGCTCATGTATGTCTACTGAATGTGTTATGAACATTACATAAGGACAACAGTTGACAGTCTCCTCAATACCTTGTGACCGGTTTCTGGCAGGCCAGGTTAATCTCATGTGCTGACGTATGTCTACTGAATGTGTTATGAACATTACATAAGGACAGCAGTTGACAGTCTCCTCAATACCTTGTGACCAGTTTCTGGCAGGCCAGGTTAATCTCATGTGCTGACGTATGTCTACTGAATGTGTTATGAACATTACATAAGGACAACAGTTGACAGTCTCCTCAATACCTACCTTGTGACCAGTTTCTGGCAGGTCAGGTTAATCTCATGTGCTGACGTATGTCTACTGAATGTGTTATGAACATTACATAAGGACAACAGTTGACAGTCTCCTCAATACCTTGTGACCAGTTTCTGGCAGGCCAGGTTAATCTCATGTGCTGACGTATGTCTACTGAATGTGTTATGAACATTACATAAGGACAACAGTTGACAGTCTCCTCAATACCTTGTGACCAGTTTCTGGCAGGCCAGGTTAATCTCATGTGCTGACGTATGTCTACTGAATGTGTTATGAACATTACATAAGGACAGCAGTTGACAGTCTCCTCAATACCTTGTGACCAGTTTCTGGCAGGTCAGGTTAATCTCATTTGCTGATGTATGTCTACTGAATGTGTTATGAACATTACATAAGGACAACAGTTGACAGTCTCCTCAATACCTTGTGACCAGTTTCTGGCAGGCCAGGTTAATCTCCTGACACTTGTGTGACGCTGATACTGACTGTAGGTTTGGTCAGTGAGAGTAACCACCATTTATGATACATAGAGAATTCTATAGAGAACAGAAATTCTATTTATCACCAAAAATATCGCTCTTCATTAGTTTTCAATCTCTGAACACGGTTCTGCCATTAGACTTGCAGTGCTGCGATGTGATAGCATTGTGACGACATCAAGTTTATTGTCAGGGTATTGTACAAAATCTACTGTCAAAATGATATCTCATAGGAGATTTCGTTTGATCTCACACAAGCGATATCTCCCGTTCTGGATGATAAATACATGTCCAGTTGTGAATGAAGATATATATATATATATGTAAGCTTTGTGACAGATTGCTATTCCTGAATAATTCATTACTGTGGAGTATTATTGAACAGTCATAATCTTTCTACAACAAGCAAATGGTAGCTATCGATTAATGTTATTGTGTGTCTACCTACCTAGAGTTGCCCAGAATAACACACAAAATACACAGGTATGTCCTTGTATGACCACTGTGTATGTCCAGTGTCCACCCAGCTATGTGTCTTCACGTGTTGTGTGCCTGGGTCTCTGTGTGGGCTGTCTATATACAACCAGGAAGTTATATCACTGGTTAACCTGATGCTAAAAATAGATCCACGTTGATCCAATCACAGAAGCCTCAGAGCTACACTGGTTAATCCTTCACTTAGGTTTGCCTATGAGCATCAAGTTATTCAAGTTTAGATATACTTCTATGAACGTATTGTTATAGAGTTTTCACTGTTTCCCCTGTTATTCGAATTAATTTAAGAACTGATTACCGAGTTTTCGAGGGAGCTTCTGCTAGCAACGATCAAGCAATATCAGGGCGGGTGACAACAGGGGGGAGCTCAATCGTTGAACACGTGAGGGAAGCGAACATGGATCCAGTCACAGAGTTGAGCATTTCCAATTAACAACATCGTCAGTACATTTGAGGTCGAAGTACTTCTTATGTGTGATTTCCAGGACATTCCACCATGAAGGTTAAACATACTCCTAAAAATACCTCCACGTTAGAACAACCGATGTGAATAGATGTGGCATTCTCTGCTTGTAAACACGTTGGACCGTTATGTGAGCATCAGGTTATTCACGTTGAGATATACGTCTGTGAATGTGTTGTTGTAGACTTTTCACTGTGTCCCCTGTTATTCAAATGAATTTAATAACCCTGACTATAGTTTGGCATGAAATGCATGTGGACCCGTTTTTTTGTAAATATCTCTTCATCCAATGACCCAATCGATCTCAAACTGTGCAAGTGGATCTTTGTCAGACAACCTAACCATATTGTAAATCACCGATTTTATGCATTTGTATTAAAGAATCTGTCTATGTAACTGTCAACAAAATAAACAGCAGAACACAGAATGCCTGCAGAGGGAGGGAGCCAATGACCTGTAACAGCGGCAGTGTTGGGTCATAAAGGTCAATGCACGTGCAGTTCCTGATAGTTACCTGTGCACTGCACAGCGATAGACCGTTTGGATCATTCACATTGACGACTTCTAGCTGTCATCATGAAAGCTTATTCAGGTGATGCTAAACGTTTCATTAGAAATGTGTTGAATTTTTTTTAAAAAGAGAGCAAACGTAGCAAACCGATGTATAAGGTGTCGGATAACCTAACCCTAAAAAACCGGGTCCACATGCATTTCATGCGAAACTATAGTGAGTTTCCGTGGGAGCTTCTCTTAACAATATTCCAGCAATAGCATGGCGAGTGACACCAGGGGTGAGATCAATGGTTGTAGACATGAAAGAATCGAACATTTGTACAGTCACAGAGTTTCACAGAGTTTAACATTTATCAAGATATACACATTTTTAGTACATTTGCCGGGACACCCACTTAAAATGTGTGACATGTCAGGACATTCCGTCAAGGTAGATTAATAAACTGCTGAAAATACACTCAGCTATTTCAGGGACACTATTCTACCTCAACACGCGACATGCTCAAGCGGGTCTCGTGAATGACTCGACTGGGGCTGGTTAATCTAGCGGGATAGATCCACCCGCGATGCTATAAATAGATAGTTTACGTCACGGTAGCGCACAGCGGATTAATCCTCGAGTCGTTTTTCTATGATTGTTTACTCTAGCGTACATCTGATTGATAAGGTTACCCAGCCACCATTGACAAGAGAATCATGGTGTGGGTGTTTGTTTACAATATATATTATCAATACAAAGACACATTTATGTGTGACTGAATATGGTTTTACGCCACTTTTAGCAATATTCCAGCAATGTAATGGCACATCTAAGTAATAAGCTTCTATGGAACATACCATGCAGTCATTAACAAAATATAATTCAAAGCAGCATTACAAAGGCACATCTTTGTGGTATATAATGAGTGAGTGAATATGGTTTCTAGCAATATTCGGGGGCGGTGGGGTAGCCTAGTGGTTAAAGCGTTGGCTCGTCACGCCGAAGACCCCGGTTTGAGTGATGTACCCCCGGTTCGATTCCCGCATGGGTACAATGTGTTAAGCCTATTTCTGGTGTCACCCGCCGTGATATTGCTGGAATATTGCTAAAAGCGGCGAAAAACTAAACTCAGTCAGTCAATCAGTCTAGCAATATTCCAGCAATATCAAGGCGGTTAGCACGAGAAATGAGCTTCACAGATACTACCTATGTGGGGAATCGAACCTTGGTCTTCGGCTTGACGAACACTTTAAGCAGTAGGTTAACCAACTTCCATTTATGTGGTATATAAGCGTTTTTTTAAATATATATTTAAAAAAAAGTATCCTTATCACGTGTAATCCTACAGATCCTCTTGAGTGAGTGAGTGAGTGAGTGAGTGAAATTTGAATCACGTCGGCAGTATTTAAACCATATCGTGGCTTGATTTTAAACAATACATTTCCAACTAAAACCTGTCAACAAAAGACAGTAAGACAACTATATGGTAACATCCTTGATGTTAGCCATGACCCCTGTGTTACTGAATATACAGGACGAAAGTAAAATAACACTCTGCCAAGGTTAAATCCTCTCAGGACTGTTCATAATGTTCATAACTGCTGCCAACTATGTGTTGTTTTATTTCTCTTAAAACAACCCTAAGCAACGTTTGAGTTTTGAAACGCGCTTGGATGCTTATACCAAAATACGGTCAGTGAAGTGGTGTACTCACTCGAAAATGTCCTTGCTTTCATTGTGCGGTTTAAACATGAAAACGTGCACTCGCATAGCCCCCTCTACATTATCTTGTTCCCAGTTTCTAGTACGAAAGATTAACCCTGACGCTTGTGTAAAGTCACGTGGTAGGCATATCATGTGACTTGCATTTCAACGCTGCACTGCTTGTGACATGCAACTGACTAGGAAGATTAACCACCTCTACGACACTGAATCTCTGGTCGTGAATGAACATACATATAAGTTTGGACACGGATTGTAATCCCTGAACATGTCATCACGGTTTAATATTCGGGATAACAGTCTACACACACACACACACGCACATTCACTAACACACACAGACAGACATACACAGACTAACATACACACATACAGACACACACCCATTAACATTAACACACACTCTAACACACACCACCGCAGGCTCTAACACACACCAACACACCTAACACACTAACACATACACACACACTTGGTGAGATTAACCATCATATTCGACACTAAGTGTCCTATTGTGAATGAATACAGATGTGATACATATCAATTAGGTCATACAGACAGTGATCCCTCATTGAAAAGCTAGCATTGGCGGATCCAGAGGGGGAAGGGGGTTGCGGCTTAAGATCACATTGAATATTTTTTTTTGCGTTGGCGGAGCCAATGGGGGGTTCAGGGGGTTCGAACCCCCTCCTTTCAAAATTCCTGGATCCGCCCATGGCTAGTGTAGAATAATCGTGGTAGCACCCAGTAAACATTGGACGGAGTAGTGGTGTAGTTGTTACCTACCTACAGTAGCCCAGAATAACACACAAACACACAGGTATATCCTCCTTGTATGATCACAGTCGCTGTCCGAGGTGTACCCGGCTATGTAGCGTCTGGTGTTCTGGGGCAAGGTTTCAACGTAGACGCTTTATGTACTACCCGGGAGTTATATCACTGCTGGTTAACCTGATACTAAAAATAGATCCACGCTGGACCAGTGTGTCACGTCTCACAACTCTGGTTAATCTTCCACTCCGGTTTGCCTATGGGCATGAAGTTACTCATGTTTAGATATAGTTTGGGGAAAATCTATTTTTTAGACGCTGTCGGGGAGTAAATATGTGTACATATATACTAACGGAAAAAAGTAACTGTGCATAACATAAAATTGCATGAAACAAAAGTTAAATGAAAAGTTGTAAAAATAACCTAAATTACCATGTGGTATGTTTGCATGAAAGTTGATATGACAATTCGGCTGATCCATCTAAGGAATCAGTTCCAGAATGTCAGTTTGACTGACCATGTCAGTTTGACTGACCATTCCTGGCTTACGTCCAATCAGTTCCAGGACTGCACGAAACCGACTGAGGGCACTCAATGTCCGGCCCTGACACCCAGCAAGACGCCCAATTCTACTGCAATGTCACCGACACCTCTTGCCTGGTACAGACAGTATCTATGACAAGATTGGGATGAAATTTTTGTTCACTGACGAGTCAAGATTTCATATGGACAGCTCAGATGGCAGGGCAAGGGTGTACAAACGACGAGGGGAACGGTATGCTGACTTTGCTCAACGTCGACAACTCCTCTTGCCTTCTTTAATCATTTAGTGTCGTCTATGCGTCGTCCTTGTCAAGCCTGCATCAACGCCAATGGTTGACACACAAGATACTGAATTTGTGACTTGACTTTTGACAGCACATCTCGTAAAGGGCGTATCAGGATGCTTAGAGTCAAATCATACAGATTTCGAAACTATTCTGTCAACGATTAAACAGTGATTAAGGAAAACACCACAAATCATGTTATTATCTTTTTGAATTAAATTGGTTTAACATCAAATACCGCACAGTTACTTTATTCCATCAGTGTACTACCCGCTGCTGGTTAATCTGATGCTAAAAATAGATCCACGTTCAATAAACGTCCCACTAGCACTGGTTAACCGTTGACTAAAAATGTCCCTGTGAACACCAAGTTACTCAGGCTCTGCCGATGTCTGATCTTCAGACATATTTTACTTAAATCACATTTTTTTCTACGTATCTTCCAGTGCGTTCATATGTATATGTATGGGTGAATTCCCTTTTTCTAACAATTTTGCCCGACGGAGTTCTGTCACACACGACAAAATCGTAAAAGCGTCCAGTCGCACAGTTGTTCATTCTCAACTGAGAAAAAACTGACTGGGCATTTTGTGGCGGCAGATTAATGGTGTTGCGATGAAGAGATTCACGTTGGTACAATGGTCAGCTCCTAGCGATGGTGAACCTTTGTGTCATGTCCTTCTTACAAACTGTATCCCAGTGTAATATGTTGATCACGAGTCACGACAGTCATACCTGAGTCAAACCAATACTTTAGTTACAGGTATAATAATACGTAATTGGTTGATGTTGCTGGACATTACAAGGTGATACTTTGTTCTCTGTGTGGCCCTGGGCGCCGTAATACTGCAGGACATTACAAGGTGATACTTGGTTCCCTGTGTGGCCCTGGGCCCAGTGATACTGCAGGACATTACAAGGTGGTACATGGTTCCCTGTGTGGCCCTGGGCCCAGTGATACTGCAGGACATTACAAGGCGATACTTGGTTCTATGTGTGGCCCTGGGCCTCGTGATACTGCAGGACATTACAAGGTGGTACTTGGTTCACTGTGTGGCCCTGGGCCTCGTGATACTGCAGGACATTACAAGGTGGTACTTGGTTCCCTGTGTGGCCCTGGGCCCCGTGATACTGCAGGACATTACAAGGTGATACATGGTTCCCTGTGTGGCCCTGGACCCAGTGGGCCCAGTGGTACTTGATTCGCTTTTAGGACGTGATTACAAGGTGGTACTTGGTTCTCTGTGTGGCCCTGGGCCTCGTAATACTGCAGGACATTACAAGGTGATACTTGGTTCCCTGCGTGGCCCTGGGCCCCGGTAATACTGCAGGACATTACAAGGTGATACATGGTACTTGGTTCTCTGTGTGGCCCTGGGCCCGTGATACATGGTTCCCTGTGGTAAGATGGTCCTCTGGCAGGACATTACAAGGTGATACTTGGTTCACTGTGTGGCGCTGGGCCCCGTAATACTGCAGGACATTACAAGGTGGTACTTGGTTCCCTGTGTGGCCCTGGGCCCCATGATACTGCAGGACATTACAAGGTGATACTTGGTTCCCTGTGTGGCTCTGGGCCCCGTGATACTGCAGGACATTACAAGGTGATACTTGGTTCCCTGTGTGGCCCTGGGCCCCGTGATACTGCAGGACATTACAAGGTGATACTTGGTTCCCTGTGTGGCCCTGGGCCCGTGATACTGCAGGACATTACAAGGTGGTACTTGGTTCCCTGTGTGGCCCTGGGCCCCCGATACTGCAGGACATTACAAGGTGATACTTGGTTCGTTCCTGTGTGGCCCAGGGCCCCGTGACACTGCAGGACATTACATGGTGGTACTTGGTTCCCTGTGTGGCCCTGGGCCCCGTGATACTGCAGGACATTACAAGGTGATACTTGGTTCCCTGTGTGGCCCTGGGCCCCGTGATACTGCAGGGGCATTACAAGGTGGTACTTGGTTCCTTGTGTGGTCCTGGGCCCCCGTGATAGTGCAGGGCATTACAAGGTGGTACTTGGTTCTCTGTGTGGTTCTGGGCACCATGATACTTTAGGATTTTACAAGGTGGTACTTGGTTCCCTGTGTGGCCCTGGTCCCGTGATACTGCAGGACATTACAAGATGGTGCTTGGTTCCATGTGTGGCCCTAGGCCCCGTGATACTGCAGGACATTACAATGGTACATGGTTCCCTGTGTGGCCCAGAGCCCCGTGATACTGCAGGACGTTACAAGGTGATACTTGGTTCCCTGTGTGGCCCTGGTTCCCGTGACACTGAAGGACATTACAAGGTGACACTTGGTTCCCTGGTCATGGCTCCGTGATACTGCAGGACATTACAAGGTGATACTTGGTTCCTTGTGTGGTCCTGGGCCCCTTGATATTGCAGGGCATTACAAGGCGATTCTTGGTTCTATGTGTGGCCCTGGGCGCCGTGATACTGCAGGACATTACAAGGTGCACGTGGTACTTGGTTATCTGTGTGGGCCCTGGGCGTCGTGATACTGCAGGACATTACAAGGTGGTACTTGGTTCTCCTGTGTGGCCCAGGGCCCAGTGATACTGGATGACATTACAAGGTGATACTTGGTTCTCTGTGTGGCCCTGGGCCCAGTGATACTTTAGGACATTACAAGGTGGTACTTGGTTCCTCTGTGTGGCCCTAGGCCCCGTGATACTGCAGGACATTACAATGGTACATGGTTCCCTGTGTGGCCCAGAGCTCCGTGATACTGCAGGACGTTACAAGGTGATACTTGGTTCCCTGTGTGGCCCTGGTTCCCGTGACACTGAAGGACATTACAAGGTGACACTTGGTTCCCTGTCATGGCTCCGTGATACTGCAGGACATTACAAGGTGATACTTGGTTCCTTGTGTGGTCCTGGGCCCCTTGATATTGCAGGGCATTACACGGTGATACTTGGTTCTCTGTGTGGTTCTTGGCAGCATGATACTTTGAGGATTTTACAAGGTGGTACTTGGATCCCTGTCTCGCCCTGGGCCCCGTGATACTGCAGGACATTACAAGGTGGTGCTTGGTTCCATGTGTGACCCTGGGCCCCGTGACCGCCTACAGTGAGATATTGGTGTAGTGGTGATACAGAGTGTCCGCCCGGAGAGCGGAAGGTAGCGGGTTCAGTTCCCCGAACGCGTCATACAAAAGACGTTTAAATATGGTACGTGTTGGTCCCTACCTTGCGCTCGGCATTAATGGGTACAACAAGGACTGGTCGGCTCGGAGTCAGTATAATGTGTACTGAGTTGGGTATTCATGCTTCACTGCGGTATGGTATCTCAATGGGCTAGCACTATAAAACCAGCTTCAGTCTGGGCTAGTACAAGCAGCCGCTAGTACACATACACACACGCATGCACGTCGTCATATGGGCTGAGAAATATTCTTAAGGACGACGTAAAAGATACCAACTTCACCTTACCTCACCTGAGACCCCGTGATACTGCAGGACATTACAAGGTGATACTTGGTTCCCTGTGTCGCCAGGGCTCCGTGATACTGCAGGACATTACAAGGTGATTCATCGTTCCCTAGTGGGCCCAGGGCCCCGTGAAACTACAGGACATTACAAGGTGACACTTGGTTCCCTGTGTGGCGCCGGGCCCCGGATACTGCAGGACATTACAAGGTGATACTTCGTTCCCTATGTGGTCCTGGGCCCCGTGATACTGCAGGACATTACAAGGTGACACTTGGTTCTCTGTGTGGTCCCTGGCCCCGTGATATTGCAGGGCATTACAAAGGTGGTACTTGTTTCCCTGTGTGGCCCTTGCCCCGTGATACTGCAGGACATTACAAGTTGATACATGGGAGGGTGTAATCAGGGGTGGTCGCAGTGTAGACGGTATGATGTGTCCAGGTATCCCTGTTAAACAGCTGCATTGCATCTCATGGTAGTACCCAAATATAAACAACAGGAGTTTGGGCAGACAAGGAGAGAAAAACATAAACACAGACACAGAACAGGGAAACACACACAGACACACACACACTCGGACACACACAGTACTAAGTGTAATGTATTGTCGGCTGGTGCGGTATGTTAGATGCAATGTGTTTGTGATGGGTGTGGTTACTTTGACGTCTAGCCACATCTTGTGTCTGTGTGTACGATTAACAAAACAATACCAGCAGTGGGGACAGTGTAGTGTCCTATCAATGCAGATATCCTCAACTTCCTATTGTTGTGGTGGACCCTCAGAGACCAGTGGCTACAGGCCATTCATGGTTTTGGTGTAGTTTCTGTGTATGTGATCCCCAAACGCTTAAGTTAAAGTTTAACCACAGCTACTGGGGATTGTATTCTACATCAACAATGGAGACACCACAACTCTGGCTAAAGTTTAACCTCAGCTA